GTCCAACTCTGCAATTTTATGATTCCATTGCCTGAGGTGGCTCCTTTCCCAGAGCTGTTCTGGGCTTTGATGGTACTCCAGCACTTGGAATTGGGCCCAGCCATGGGCTGGCAGCCAGGGCGTAGTCAAGCGCTGGGTAGATATGATCACCCCTTAACATCCGTCATAAACGGTCCCCATCTTTGCTGAGCGGAAGAGCATTCATCGGTCTAAACCTCAAAGCCTAAACCAAAACATCCCAAAGATAAGGCAAAGTGCCAGGTTTGTGTCCCTTGCAAATCTGTTAAGTGCCCCCTGAGCGTCTTCAGCCAGATCACTGGTAAAAATGTTGAAGAGCACCGGGCCCAGGACAGAACCGTGCAGTTCCTCGCTTGTTCCTCTCCCCAGTTTGAGAAAGTGCCACCCATGTGCACTCTTTGTGTCCAATTCTGCAGCCGACTTTCGTTGGGGTTTATTTGACCAACGCAGCCCCCACCCCTTTCCATGTCTGGAGTGGACTAGACCAAAATTAGACCACCCCATTCAACCAGGGCCACCTTATAATGGGTGCTTTGTTTAAATATTCAAGAAGAAATACTTTCGTGAGAGCACGAAACAAGGAGGGGGGGGGATCATGCATGCAGGGAAGCAGTTCCTCACGCCCAGGGCATTTTGGCGAAGAGCCGCGCATCGTGGGACAAGCACGGAGAGATGGCAGCAATGTCCTCTGCCCTGTTTCGGACCCTCTCAAAGGACCGCTTTCCCTGCCTGCCCACTCTGCCTCCAGTTGCTTCAGATGGCAGAACAGAGGGACTGCACTGCGCCAGGGAGCAGGCCGCAGGGAGACCTGGCAAAGAAGCTGCATTTGCATCTCTGGGTGAGGAAAGAAACTCTCTTGAACCCGTGCCTGCAGGATGGCTTCATCTCCAAGTGATGCAACAGACAGGTGGGAACAGCAGAGGCCTGAGCTTTCAGTGGGGTGGGAGCCGGGCCCATTTCGCAAGGGCTGTGGGCGCCGACAGGATAATCCTCAGAGCTACTTCTGCCATGTCAAAGCATCTTGCCAGCTTCCCCGCTTGCAGACAGGTACACGACAACGCAGCTGCAGGCTGCCTGGAATTTCATATGGGAGCACACCTTATTTCTCCTGTATGCAAACTTTCATTGCGCAAAGTCGCATTGCGCAAACCTGTGATACTAGTTTGCTCCTCTCTTCAGATATTCAGAGGGATCTGTGGGTGTAAAAGCGCAGAGTCTGCTAGTACAAGGACACGACCCAGCAACTGATCACCCTCACGTCCCTCTTGACAGAACATGGACAAAACTAGGGACAGTAACTCGAGATCCTGCAGGCAGAAAACGCTGCCTTGGGAGAGAGCAAACTGCGTGGGTAACCACACTACCATATTTCCCCAAAAATAAGACTGGAAAATAAGCCTTATATTAATTTTTGCTCCAAAAAATTAATATATTAGGGCGTATTTTCAGGTGACGCCTTATTTTTTTCATGTACAACAATCTGCATTTATTCATTTATTCATGTACATAAAATCTACATCTATTCAAATACAGTCATGTCATCTTCTTCTGGGACATTGTCATAACTCTCCAAACCCCAAATTGTGTTGCAACGGACTTACTAAATGCGTCCATCTAGCTGACGATCTTAACTGGGGCTTATTTTAGGGGTAGGGCTTATATTACGAGCATCCTGAAAAATCGTGCTAGGGCTTATTTTCCGGTTAGGGCTTATTTTCGGGGAAACAGGGTACAATGAGTAGGAACAATGAAAACCCTTTCACAATTTCCATGGGAGAGAAGCAGGCAGACCAGTATTATCTACCCCTTTGGCAGCTGATAAAACCCATTCAAGTGGAAAGCAGGTGTGTGAGCTACAAAATACTCCTACATGATTGGGACTTGCTTGGTATTTAGTGCCGAGAATTCCCAAGCCAAATAAAGCCTGACCCTCTACTCTCCTGCTGGGGCACAAGCTCCACGGAGGTTAATGGGAATTGCTTCCCAGCAGGAATGCACAGGATTGCACTGCTAGGCGACTATGGAAAACCACTGCAAACCTCCATTTGCTTTCCTAGTATTAGGTTGCATTCATATCCTGCATTTTTCCTCTTGTGAGGAACGCAAGGCAGTTTACATACAAAGCCCTGTTTTCCCCCGACAACCACCATCCTGTGAGGTAGCTTAGGCTGGGAGTGACTGGCCCAAAGTCACCCAGCGAGCTTCATGGCTGGGTGGGGGCTAGAACCTGGATCTCCACGGTCTCCAGTCCAGCACAGTAACCACTAGACCACACTGCTATGGTTTCCCAACAAAGAAATCTGAGAAGGCTGCAGAGAACATTTTGTTGAAAAAATGTCCTGCTTCTCCTCCCTCTGTTGGACTAAATTCTGGGGGGACAATCAGATTAAGTGTGTGGGATGCAATTGTCCCCTGGGGCTAAATAGGATAGACAGGGGTCTTTGGGGTGTCTCATTAGAGCATGGGAACAAAGGCCAGCTCTGTTCCAAAGTGCCTTGTGTGCTGAGAGAATTCCAGACAGAGCTGCTATTCTTCTAGGAGTCTTTCCCTGTGCACACAGAATGAAAATGGTTCTGGGGAAGGGTCAGGATCAAATCTCATGGGCTGAACAACTTACCCTCCCTTGCAGCTTTGGACTGGATGGACCTTGGGTCTGATCCAGTCTGGCTTTTCTGTGCTTCTACGGGGATAAAATGGGGATGGATCCTTATATGCTACTGCACACTCTGTTGAGGAATTGTGTGGCTGAAGAGAAATTCAGTCCAACAGCCAAATAAGCTCTTAGTGTCGCATAGCAAGCAGAGAGCACTGGCTTTTGGGCCATGTACAGATGTCATGAAAGAAAACTGAAAGTGAGAGCATCAGCACGGTGCAGTGGTTAAACGCGCAGGACTGGGACTCAGAGGATCCGGGTTCGAGTCCCTGCTCAGCCATGGAGCCACTGGGGGACTTTGGGCCAGTCACAGACTCTCAGCCCAACCTAACGCACACGGCTGTTGTTCTCGGGATAAGTCAGAGCAGCAGGAGGAGAGTGATGTGAGTTCCTTTGAGTTCTTAAAAAGAAAAAGGCAAGATACTACTCTAATAAACAACAACATTCAAAGCACTATTACTAATTATTACCATCACCCTCCCCATTGTTTCCCCTTTCCCTCCCTCACTAGAGACATTCACAAAGATGGACGGCCATCTGAGTGGGACGGTGTCACGTGCTGCCCTGCAGCAGCAGGGGGTTGAACCAGATGGTCTTCATGGCTCTTGCCAACTCTACTATTCTATGATTTTATGAGCACAACAACCCTGTGAGGTAGGTTGGGCTGAGAGAGTGTGACTGGGCCAGGCTCACCCAGCGAGCTCTGGGTCTGACTGGGGGCTAGAACCCGGATCTCCTGAGTCCCACACTCCAAACCACTGCACCACACTGGCTCTGGCACACCTCCCGGTTCCCACCACTCACCCCATGGCAGATGGTCACTGATTTAGATGGCCTGAAGAGAGGGCCAGATAAACCCACAGAGGGGGTATTCTTCCTGGGGCCTCCAAGCTACCTCCAGTATCACAGGCAGCATGCCTGCAGGCACCAGCTGCTGGGGATGATGGACAGGAGGGGGCTGCTGCCTGCCTGTGGGTCCCGCGGGGGTGGCTGCTTGGCCACTGCATGAACAGAACGCGTGACCAGAGGCACCTGGCTCTGACACAGCAGGGCTCTTCATATCGTAGAATCACAGTAGAGCTGGAAGGGGCCAGAGGGTCCCTGCCCAGCTCCGGACTCCAAGTCACACCATCCCTCTCACTGGGCTGCCCAGCTGCATCCTGAATGCCTCCAGGGTGGGAGAGCCCACAACCAACCTGGATCACTGATTCCATCGTCACACTGCTCCAACAGTCAGGGATTTTTTCTGATATCTAGCTGGAATCTGGCTTCCTGTCCCTTAAGCCCATTGTCGCGTGTCCTGCACTCTGGGATGATCGAGAAGATATCCCGGCCTTCCTCTTTGTGACAACCTTCAACACTTTGATATGCTGTTAAACAAGGAAAAGCTGCTAGTCCTCATGGCCATGAAACCTGCAGTATTGGAGGGCCCTTGCTCTGGCGCAGCAGGGAACTCCGGGTCCCCCTGCTGCCATTTCTCCGCCCTTTTCGTTTCTCTGCGCAGACGTCCTTGCAAAAAGACGCGAGTTCACGGCGCGATCTCCGCCTGCCGGGACGCTCCGGGAAAAGCGATACGACAGCGCCCCCTGGCGCCCATGCTATGCATCCGCATCCCACCCGCAATGACAAGGAGAAATTCATGCGCAGCGGTGTTGTCCCTTCCGGTTCCGGGTCAAATATTCGGGGCACCCGCAGCGAAAACACAAACAAACAAACAAACAAACGATCAGTAGCACCATAGAGTTGTGGGAGCAGAGCGCCACCCCTCCTTCAAAAGAGCCGCGTCGGAACCGGATGTGACGAAAGCTCAGAAGCCTTTTAATCCTATCTCAAGAATGGCGGCTGTGGGTGGGCCGAGTTGGAAGTCACGCCTGTTTGGTCTGTGCCCAATCAGCACAGCCTTGGGCTCCTTCGAGTGACGGCGCCGTTATGTCGCACGCAGGCGGCCAATGGGCGACAGCAGGCGGAGCAGGAAGGAATGTTGGACACGCGGGGAGGGGGCTGCTCTTCTTTGAGCTTCTGAGCGAGGTAATGCACGTGTGTGTGGATTTGCGTATAGCACGTGTGAATGGTTGACCCGCAGGGCCGAGTTGTATGTCTGTTTCTTTATTTAGGGGACGCTATCCACCGGACATAATTTATCAAGCTCCCGCCATTTGTAAATTTACGAAGTCTATACGTGCCTACTTAGAAGGAACTCGGTGGGGCTTGCTCCCAAGCAAGTGTGTCTGGGCTTGCAAATTAAATGGTCCGTTCAGTGAAATGGTTGTTACGTAGTCCTTAAAGGGTGAAGTAATGCTGCTTTAGGATGCCGTATGTGCCATTTTTAAAAGGGGGTTGGCTTTTTGCCCCCTAACAAGTATATTCCTAAAGTGGATCTTGATGTTAGACTTCTGTGTTGTGAGGCAAGGGAATTCCGAACCACTCTACTTGGGAAAAGTTGGAAGAGGAGGGAAAATTCTGAGGTTGATGGTGCCCTTTCATATCACAGAGGAAGATCACACTTTGCACGCTACTCCATATGTAGGAAACTCCCTGTGGGTGGGAGTCTAGTCCAAGCAAGGATTCAAGGAAGTGTGTTGGGCTGGTATTGGTTAATTCTGGATTTCAAGAGAGATGGTTTATTTTTCTTTTGTATGAAGAATAACATTCAAAGTAGCATTCCCCGCTGCACTACGAAGCAGGCTCCCTCAATTTGGACCTTGATTCTCATCAGCCCAGGTGGCCTGGACAAGGGTCAGGAATGATGGGATCTGTAGTCCAAAACACCTGGTGCATACGAGGTTCAGAAAGGCTGTTCTGAAGTTTCACACTTCCCAGCACCATCATCTTTCAGTGAGATGTACTGCTGTTAGCCAATGATATGGAAAGCAGGTCTTCTGGAGTTTAAATGCCACACCAAAGTGGTCCTTGGCTGTGCTGTAACATGAAGTGCACCTGCTTACTGTACAGGTAGCCTCCGGCCAGATTCCTTCTAGGTGTGTTGGCACTGCAGGTCCTATGATTCACCAACAAGCGTGTGCAGGGCATCACAGGTCTCTTTCGCTGAGAGCCAGCAGCCACGTAGTGCCACCAAATGGACTCATTAAGGAATGGTTCCTCCTTCCAGTTGAAGAGCTGTGTGGCAGGTTTAAAATAAGACACCCTCACAGAACAGACTGATTTTTTTCAGCAGCTTTTCAGAGTTCTCCCAGCTGGCCACCATGCATAATGTTGTGGCTGGACTCATGTTTGGAGCTGCCAGGACAGACCATGCCTGGCCAGATCGGTGACCACTGGCTTCCAGATAGGTTCTTGGCTCAGTTCAAGATGTTGTGGTTGGCCTTTAGAGTGCTGAATGCCCAGGTTCTCCTGCCATACAGTTCTGCTCATAATCTCAAGCCAGTTCCTTCTCGTCCTTTTGCCAGAAGAAATGCAATTGTTTGGAAAATTGAAGAGGCCTGTTTCAGTGGTGGGATAGACTTGCAAAAAAACCTTTGTTTTGCTCCTTTTTGCTGTCTTTGAAATAGGCCACATGCATGTTTAGTCAGAAAAAATCCTACAACTCCCAACATCCTCCAGCTAGCCAGACTTCTTTCTCTCTGTGGATGCACAGGATTGTTCCAAGGACAGTCTTATTCTGATGGGCATTTTTAAGGTAGATCCTTTTGTTTTTTCTTTTCTTTTTTCCCCTAATGCAAACAATAGATTTGCATTGCCATTGTTACAGTTTTGCTTTTTTTCCTGAATAAAGAAAAAATGCAGAATATCCACTTTGATGCTTTCAGCTGTACTGGACTACAAAGCCTAGCTGCCACCAGCCAGCTATGCTGAAAGTTGCAGGCAACGACCTCCGCAGGGCTCCAGGTTGGGGAAGTCTGTGTTCTACCAACTCATTTCAGTTGGGTTGTGTATGGGAGCTAGTGTAGAGCCGCTTAAAAGTCTGAACTGTGAGTGTGGAAGTCCCAGTGTAGACTCACACCTGGCCTGCCTTAAAGGGCTCTTGTGAGGATTGCAACAATATTGCATATGAAAGGCTATAAAACTTTGTGTAAGTGTTGGGGTTATTACAAGTTATCCTTTTTACAAGTGAGGTCTGTAGAAAGATGTGGTAGTAATGTATACCACATTCCCCACAAGGAATTCTCTTCTTCCAGTTCTAGCCAGCCATGTCTTCCACCTGTAAACTATTTCGTACTGGGCCTCCATGGTCATGTTTTGCTTTTCCAATTGGCAGTCAGTCTTCTATGAATGCTGAACCTGATCAGTGCTCAGGGGGCTGATATCTTGCCCGCTTACGTATGTTTAAAATATTCTGTACTTCCTCACACCTCAGGACAGGCTGATGCCTTTTTCTTGTCTCTTTGCTGGCACTCAGCACCTGCATTTGTTATTAGAAAGACTGGTTTCTATTTCCAGGTCACCTGGAGTTTAATATTATCAAGGAACAAGGTGCATATGCCTGAAATTAACCATAAATATTACATCTAGTCTTGCCAGTCCTCTGCGCAAAAGCAGTTATCTGATACCCTAAGTCACTTCTTCTAAGGCATAAAGAATTGCTTTGTGCAGCTTGAGCAATTTAGTTGCCAGTTGTGTAGCTTCTTCAAGTCATGCTGCTGTTGAAACATGGCTTATATAATGTGTATTAGTGTGGGAATTGCAATATAGCTGGAAGGCCCAGCTGGAGAATTAATTAAATGCAGAACATGAGTCACGCTCAGACTTTTAAAGAACGTTCTCTTGCTTGAAGGTCTAAGAAGCTTCCAACTATTGGCCATTTTTACTTGTAATTGGTGGCTCTTTTCTTGAAACAGTTCAGCAGTTCTTGAAATCTTTTGGATCTGTATTTCTAAAAAGTCATTTAAAGACCTAGTTAGCACATAATTCTTGCATTTTTGTGCAGTGCCCAGAGAGCTTCAGCTGTGGGGTGGAATGGAAATGAAATGCTAACCGAATGTTTGCTTAACCCATGGTTTGTTGCCCATCAGAGTTTCTCAGCCAGTCTACTGAATAAATTGGTTTGTTTGCTCAGTTCCTGAATTGTTAGCTTTTCTTCTCCTGTTCCTTCTCTACATCCTCAATGTTTTTGCAGTGCCATAGTACTGGCATGGAGAGTGGCCGTTATTTTTCACCACTCTTGCTGTTCCATCTGTCACCTTGGGCTGTTCTTCTCCTGCTTCTTCTAAGCAGATCAGGACAAAGGCTTTTAGTTAGAAAGAGTCTACTTAATGTTGAAACTGACCAGTTAGGCTGGCCTTATAGTACACAAGGAAAGAATTGAGGAAGCCCATAACAGAAGGAACAAGCAAAGCTTGTACTAGTTATTAAGGAAATGAGACTTAAATGATCAGAAATTGATTGCAAAATGAATACCCCTTCTGCCTTCCATACTGAAAAAAGCAAACTACACCTTCAAGATGGATCTCCTTGTTTCAGGGCCAGTTGCTTGAAGCATCTGAGGCTTCTCTTAAATGGACATCATACCCTGGAATGAATTATGCTGGGTCTGCCCCCCACCGCCACTCACTAAGCTTTCCCATAGTATTTGAAATTTTCTGATTTTTAGTGCCTGCCTGGCTTATATCTGGCTCCCTTGGCTTTGATATTTAAGCTGCGAATTCTGGCACCACCTCTTCATCTGACCTGGAATCAGATTCCACCATCTTTGATGGCTCTTTTAGAAGAGAAAGCCCATTCATACACCTGGTAAAATAACCCATCATTCTGGGATTCTTGTTATGTGCCATCAAGTCCTCTCTTTCTTATGGTGACTCTATGAATTGAGTTTCCCCCAAAATGTCCTACCCTTGACAGTCCTGCTGTTTACTATCGGAAGATGGAAAAGCCAGGTCGAGCTCCAAGTCATCTACAAATTGTGATGCCTTGAAGAGTTTTGTGATGCCTTGAAGACTCATTTTAGCATCATCAGCATGATACACTGAGGACACTAGCCAAATTTAGGGTCCAGGTGACTTTACCCAGCATTGCTGTTCAGATCAAACAGCCTAAGGAACAGAATGGAGCCCTGTGGTACTTCAAAAGTCACGACCGTGATGTCAAAAGTTCCTAAGGTGGGGATCTCCTAAGGCTTAAGGTGGAGGCAATCCAGAAAGATACCATAGTTGATGGTATCAAAAGCCGCTGAGATGTCCAGGAGAACAAAAGAGTTGCAGCCTTCCCTTCCACCCCCTGGTGCAAGTCATCCAGCAGGGTGTTTTCTGTTTCTTGCAGGTGCTAGATGGCAGAGTCCAAGGTTTTCTATAGCTGGTATGCCATCCGAGACTTTGCAGAGTTGTCAAGACACCTCTTGCTTAAGAACCTCAGCAGGTTAGCAACGAGGTTATAGTTTCCTAAGCAGAATCTGCATTTGGCTTTTTTAGACAGTGGATTTTAACGCTGCCTCCTTTCATGGGAAGGTGGTCCATGTCCATTATGGCCAGAATGCACCCAGTTGGCCAGTGTGGAATGCTGGATTCCACAGGGCTCCTTCTAAGGGAAATGCTTTGCATTGCAAAGAGCATTTCATTTGCAGCTCCCTCTGGTGGTGGTGCATTTCCAAAGCGCCTTTCATTTGAGTAATACAGAACATCCACTGCAATCCGCATTACTGGGGAGCATCCATTGTCTTCAAAGGAGCAGCAAGTGCTCTCTCTCCTCCCCCTTCCTGCCTGCCTTGCAAGTAGGGGCAACTGCACCAAAGGGGGTAGAATGAAAGGGAACGAAGGCTTGCTTTCAATATTTATGAGCCAGCACTCAGATCCACAAAAAATTGGTTTCTTTTTAAATAAGGCAATTAACAGCTGTTGAGCAAATAACATCCAAGATCAGTTTTTCCCCCATTATGCAACTTAAAACTCTGCTGAAATAGATTTCCTCAAGGAAGGGAGGTATCTTATTGGGAGGAAGGGATATAGGAAGTTAAATTCTAGGCTTTGCTTTTTCTTGTCCTTCTCCCTCCCTTTGTTACTTTGTCTAACTTTAGTTTCTTAACTGATTAAATTTATCTCCCAACTTTCCACTAAAATATCACTCAAGGAGACTAAAGATAAAATAGAAGATTGAAGAGATCATCTTAAAAAGATGCAATAAAGCACGTCAAACAAAACTAGCACACAAAGGGAAAAAAAGCGACCAGCAGTTTGACAACCCAGTCTAGCAGCAGTTCCACTTAGAAGGCAAAAGCCTGGCTGAATAAAAGGGCTTTGCTTGCTGGGAAAAGCGTAACAGAGTTGGACTCGCCTGGCTTCTTTGCAGAGGAGCAACCACCAAGAAGTCCCTTGCTCACGTCCTTGTCATTTCTGCCAAGTTTGAATCTTAACATGTTCGAATCAATATATATTATTCTGTACAATGAATCTATGTAACATTGGATTTCCTAACATGGCCTCCTAAGTTCTTGGTTGAAGGGACATCCAAACTGGGCACCGCTGGGCTCTTGTTCTGCCCAGCACCAACTCTGAGCAAAGGACACCATGTTCCTGCTCTCTGCTGTAGTTCAGGCTTGCATTGCCATAAACCAGCGACGGGAGATGCCCAGTCCTGGCTGCGGACAGTAGCCTTTCCAAGCGGCCTGCCAGCCTTTCCTCCTGGGCTGCCAGCGTGGCTGGAGAGCTGCACTGACCAAGCAAGGGCAGCTGAGCAGTGGAGCGAATGAGGCTGGCTGCACATGTCGCCACCTCCCCTGCCCCGCTTGAATTGAACAAGACAAGCTCTCCCTTCGTGCGAAGAAAGCACAGTTGCAGATGAGGAGCTGGTCTTCACTGCAGGGAGGGGGTGAATCTTCCCCTCCCTTTGCAACTCCTACATCCTGATTTGTGCATGCCAAAGAAAGTTGGAGTGGCAGAGAGAGAGAAAGCAGAAGGGAAGGCCTTGACTTCGCGCCGCTGCTGGTGTCCCCTGCCTTACTCACATGCAGGACGTATCCTTTGGTACTCACATTTTTTGTTCCTGAAGCGCCTGTGGTGTGTTGGGTGATATTTTAAGCTTTTGGTCGAGGCATTTCCTTCTTTCCTTCCTCTCTTTCAATCAAGATAATGCAGGCTTGTTTTCTTCCCACTGATTGGCTACCCAAGTCTGCAGTTTTTGAGATGTGTCTTGCCGAGTTACAGTATTGGGAACACCTGCCATAACTACTTTTGCTGTGTTTTTCCTTCTTTGATACCTGATGCTTGAGGAAAAATGTTAGCCAATAGGGCTTGTGTGTTTCCAGGTCTGGAACCACTTGATCTGCTCACCTGGAGCTTTTCAAAAGTTTGGGATGTCAGTCTCAGCATTTTTGAATACTCTGGCCTGGATGAACTGGCGTTGTCGTCCTGAACATTTAGATCCAAGCTGTGGAGGGCCAGAGGGGAGAAGCTCTGTGCAATCGAGGGTTGGCTCAGATAAAACACTGAACCATGGTTTGCACTAACTACAGTTTAGATTTTGGTGTGGTGGTGGACAGCTCGATGAAAATATCAACCCCGTGCACAGCTGCTGTGAAAAAAGGCAAACTCCACGCTAGGCCCCTATAAAAAGAATTGAAAATAGAACTGCTAAAATCTTACCCCCCTTGTACAAGTCTGTGCTGTGAACGGCAGCTCAACAATCGAGGGGTTGGAGCAATGTCCCTGCGAGGGCAGATGGCTGCAACTGAGATGGTTTAGCTCAGAGGAA